CATTGGCTACTAGTGACCCTCTGACAGTATTTTAGAAGAAGGATCATCTACTACAAGACGGTGGTTGACCACGGGTAACTGAAGCCTGGGAAAGTGAAGCTTCAGATAAGGGAGGGGGACGACTACTGTAGGTTTATTTGGGACGAAGATAGTAATAGCCATCAAGTTGGAGCACCTGGGTGGCTCAGTTGGTTAAGCGTCCAACTTTTGATTTTGGCTCAGGTCATGATCTCAGGGTTGTGAGATGGAGCCCCGCGTTGGGCTCTGTGCTGGGCGTAGAGCCTGCTTAAGATTCTCTCTCTCCCTCTGCCCCACCCCCTCTCTAAAAATAAAAAAGCCATCAGGCTTTCAAAATGCAAAGAACTAGAACTCTTCATTGCCTTTAATATAACAGATGTGCAAGTGATTTTTATATCCAGAGATGAATTTCCCAAAGTGTGTCTAGGGAAAAGATTCCATGAAAAAAGGATTCCATGGTCAATTACATTTGGAAGATAGATATACATACCTCAGCCTCCTCTTGGATATTCATATTGCCCTTTGGCATATTAAAAGCTGTAAGAAGATGCACTTAAGTTTACCTTATATTTCCCAAACTTATTTGAGCACAGCGCTAAGCCATTAGTTGTTATCTGGTAATAGTATCCAAATCAGGGATATTTAGTTAAAGATAAGATGGGCCAGGAACTTGAAGACAGAAAAATTTTCAACCCTTTCAATACTTGGAAAGGGATAGGATCTTCCATGTCTGGGAAACTCCGAGTTGCTCTAAACTCATTATATTTCATCTTGGATTTTCTGTCTCTGTTCTCCTGAGACAAGTTGAGCCTTATGTCTGAAAGCAGGCAACACTTTCATATGGCCTGTGAGCTCTGGTGAGACCACCAGAATGCCACATGCACATATAACACACACCTTTGTACCTCTTTAGTAGTGGATTCTGGGCCAGGGGCCAGGCCTTGGAAGAATGTCTAGGGGCTTAATAATGTCACGGTTTTCATATCTTTGTCCTTTGGGAGAGATAATAGGCAAGGTTTCTCCTAATTCTCCACACCATTTTATTCTGGAAAAAAGACCTTGTGCTTGAAAGGGGACTGATTCTATGCTTCTCATGTCCCTGGCATCAATACAGCCCAGTGAAAGGAGAAAGAAGTTGGTGTATAAACCTCTGTGGCTTGGTACTCTTGTGACATACTTTTAAGTTTTTGCTCCCTAGTGATGCTCTACTTTAGCTGCTAGAAAACTCAGTAGAAACTCAGAGAAGGTCTGTCCCCTGGCTGTTAGAAAGTAGTTAAGTGATGAGGAAGTGAATCTTCTCACATCCTCTGGGGGCCAGAGGGCAGACTGTAGGCCCTAACATGGCCTCCAATGACTCTCTCCTTCCTGGTATTCACGTCCTTGGGTAATATCAACCCACTTTGAAGAAGGCTGATCTGTGTAAAAATAGGAAATTGGATACTGCAATAGGATGTTGCAGAGATGATGGGAGTATGACTTCCCAGGCTAGATCTTAAAAGATATTGCGACTTCTGCATGTTTTTCTTTGCATCACTAGCTTTGGGAGAAGCCAGCTGTCATGTTGTGAAGGACACTAAAGCAACCCAATGAAGAGGCCCACCCATGTTGTAGGAGCCGAGGCCTTCTGCCAAAACCTAGTACCAGCTTGCCAGTCATGTGAATAAGCCATCTTGGAAATGGATCCTCTAGCCCATATGCCCTCAAATGACTGCAACTTCATGAAAGACCCTGAGCCAGAACCACCCAGCTAAATCACTCCCAAATTCTTGACCCATAGAAACTGAAATAATAAATATTTATTACTCAGCCACTAAGTTTTGGGGTTATTTCTGACCTAGCAAAAGGCAACTAATATGGTAGATGTGTATTCTGTGTGATGTTTGGTCACTGAAATGGCTCTAGATTTGCAAATTATTACTTTAGAATTTGATTAGTTCCTCCAAAACATTAGGCTTACCATGACCTCTGTGCTTCTTATTCTGGTGTGTATACCAGAAAACTGGTTTTTCCCTAAGGGTTAATAACTGAGAGAAGTGATAAAAAAAAACAATACTTAATGATACTCTCCCTGTAAACTGTTATAATAACCAGAGAGAAAGGAAACCTCTTAATTGCTACTTTCATTTGACTTTTTGAAACAAAAAACAAAAAAACCTTACTCCAGGACAAATCTTCAATTTCTTTTTTTTAATTTATTTTTTATTTTTAAAGATTTTTATTTATTTATTTGACAGAGAGAGACACAGTGAGAGAGGAAACACAAGCAGGAGGAGTGGGAGAGGGAGAAGCAGGCTTCCCGCTGAGCAGGGAGCCCCGACGCGGGGCTCGATCCCAGGACTCCGGGATCATGACCTGAGCCCAAGGCAGACGCCCAATGACTGAGCCACCCAGGCGCCCCCAATTTTTTTTTTTAAATAAATGTTTTATTTAAGTAAAACACACATACAGAAAGAGCACAAAACAAGTGAACATTTTTTTTTTTTTTAAAGATTTAATTTATTTATTTGACAGAGAGAGACACAGCGAGAGAGGGAACACAAGCAGGGGGAGTGGGAGAGGGAGAAGCAGGCTTCCCGCGGAGCAGGGAGCCCGATGTGGGGCTCGATCCCAGGACCCTGGGATCATGACCTGAGCCGAAGGCAGATGCTCAACGACTAAGCCACCCAGGCACCCCAAAACAAGTGAACATCTTGATGACATATTGTAAAGTGAACATACCCATGTAGCCACCACCCAGACCAGAGAAACCGAACACTCCCAGCCCTACAGAAGTCTATCTGTTGCCCTGTCATCCTGACTCTCTTCCCCTTCCCCCACAAAACAGTATCATCCTGACTTCTAAAAACATTTATTAATGTTGACCTTCAGGGGCGCCTGGGTGGCTCAGTCGTTAAGCGTCTGCCTTCGGCTCAGGTCATGATCCCAGCGTCTTGGGATTGAGCCCTGCATCAGGCTCCCTGCTCAGCGGGAAGCCTACTTCTCCCTCTCCCACTCCCCCTGCTTGTGTTCCCTCTCTCCTGTGTCTTTCTTTGTCAAATAAATAAAATCTTAAAAAAAAATGTTGACCTTCATATAAATCATACGGTATGTATTTTTTCATGTCTGGTTTCTTTTGCTCAGTTTATTTGCATTTTTCATTTAGGATTATAAACATCTTGCCTAATTGCCATTAGTGTATGCTTCATCTGTTATTTTTGGATAAACTTTAAAGATAGCCACAAACTGTAAGTTCACACAAGGGAGTGAAGACACATATACTTATTTAAGAGGACAAAAAGCCTTCTAGTAACTTACTGGAATTTTACTGAATCTGTGCCTTTTGGTTACTGTAAGGCAGAGAGTGGCTGAACTTCTCAGGAATTCAGGCTCTATCATTTTTTTAAGCTGTGAGCGTCTGGTTAAGTTGCCTCAACATCCCAGTGTTGCTGGGAAGATTAAATGACATGTAAAGGCACTCTGTACACTGTAAACAAACAAACAAACAAACAAACAAACTACACACGTATTTCAGGTGTTGTTTTGCTATTGGGGTTCACCTTGGCAGTCTTGGATAATGAGGATGATGATTTTTGATTTTTCCGGATGATCTAGCAGAACTCACAGACTTGAATGAAAGCTCCCTCAGGTCAAGGAGGACCAGACTGATGGGGGGTAGAAAGAAAGATGGGCCACACTGGGTGCTGAGATTTAGAAGACTAGCTTCAGGTGTTCTTGGTTCTTGTAGGATCCATCTGGGTGGCTTCTTGCAGGAGCTGGAATTTCCAGAATTTGGGTATAGGGTTTCCAGAGTTATTCCTACAGTGAGGGGAGCTAGTTTGGAGTGAGCATAATTTTGTTCAACAAGCAAGAGAGAAGCTCATCTATCTTGTTCAGGACTAGCACTCATTACGAGAAGGGTGAAGAAAATGAGGGCTATCACCCAAGGGGCATTACAGTGTCCTGGGGGAGGCACTTATGAGTAATTAGCAAGCAACCTGGGGTTAAACTTGATGGAGTGAGGGAGTGCGTTGAGGGTACCGAAAAAGGCAGGATCATTTCAGGCTGGGGTAACCTTTGGAGAAGGGTGGTTGGAAGGGCCTTTGGTAGGTGTGAGTGGTCAGTATCTCAGGCCTGGAGGTGACTATGTTGTCTGCACCCCACCCCCCCACGCCCAAAGGGAAGAAGATGATTAACGCGCGCGCACGCGCACACCCCTAACAACACAGGCTCCAAGGCAGCCGCCAAATCCTTCTATGTCCCCCCAGTGCGCCGCACAGAAAAGGAGTCCAGACTGTCCTTCAAAAAGCCAACCCTACTCCCCGGCTCCCACACCCCCTCCTTCAGCACAGGAGGGTGGCGAAGGATTTATAACCCACCTCTTTCTTCCAGTTGCCATGGAGACCAGCCCCAGTCCTTTCATTCCTTCTGGTACCGGGAACATTTCTCCAACGCAGGCGGAATGGAGGGGGCTTAGCCCAAATACGCTCGTGGCAGTGCTGGGGGACTGCGTGGTGGTAAAAAATACAGCGCGGAGGGGCTGGCGGCCTCGACGGCAGCGGCGGAACGAGGCCAAGGGACAAAGGCTAAGGTCAGCCGCGGTTCAAGCCCTTCTCTTTGCCAAAGACTGGCAGCCAGACGCTGGGGGGGCACAGTGCTGGGCTGGAGGAGGGTGCGGGCCGGGAAAGGCCGGACGCAGCAGCGTGGCGGGACGCTGGGCTGGGGAGCGGACCTGTCCACCTGTGCGGCCGGGTGCTGCGGCCCCTCCACCCACACGTCCATTGGGCGGTGCCGCCATCACTGTCCCCCAGCAACACCGCCTTCTCCGCGGCTAAGCCCGGATCCCCTCCCCCGCCACTCTCCGCCCCGCTCCGTCCTGGGAGCCTTTCATTGGACGGAGGCGCGGTCGATCCGCCTCGAGTGAGAGAGACGATTGGACGCGAGGCCTTCGGGCCGCCCCCAGCCTATTTGGATTGGCTTGCCGCGCGTTGGCGCAACGGAAGAGGCGGCCGGCGGAGGGTGCGCCTCTGCTTGAGCTGGACTGCCGCGGAGGAGGCGACGAGGGGTCCGGCGCTGGGGGGCTGGCTCGGGCGGCAGCGGTGGCTGCTGCGGATGGGAGCGGGCCGGCTCGGCGTGCCCATGGAACGCCACGGCAGAGCGTCCGACACCTCCGCCTCGTCGGCGGGGGAGCCGGCGCCCGTAGGGCCTGATGGGCGGCGGCGGGAGCTGCTGCGGTGCCGGGCGAGCAGCGCGTCGGAGCCCCCCGTCGGGGCCTCGGCTTCGGCGGAGGGCGTCAGACGAAGCCGGCCCGGCTCCTACAGTGGCGCCCCCTCGGCCTCCCGCCAGCGCGTCGAAAGCCTTAGGAAGAAGCGGCAGCGTAAGTGCCCGGCGGGTTGTCCTCGCGGCTCGCCCTGCCCCCATCCGGCCCGGCCGCCGTTTTTCCCGCGCGCTCGCGCGGGGACAGTGCCCCCGCACGGTGGTCCCAGGTTGGTGCATGGGCTGACAGCCGACTGGAGGCCTCGGGTCCAAGCTCGGGGGATCGGGGTTCGGCCCCCGCGTAGCCCTCGCTCGCAGTGGTCCGCGCTTTCCGGTTGTGGGAGTGGAGGGTCTTTACCCAGAACCCTTTCTCCCTCTTTTCAGCTCCTTGGGTATTCTTTGCCCACGAGTCAGGTGATTTCATCCTCGAGGAGGCTTCTTTTGACTCTTTCCCACCGCCTCCCCTCCCCCTAAATCCTTTGAATCACCAATGTGTGTCTTCCGTGGGTTTCCAGAGAGCTGTCCAAGACGTTAAATCCCTTTAATCTGGAGATTTCGGGCTTCCTGGAAAATGGTTGACTGGCCCTTGAGTTGCTGCAGGCCTAAAACTGGATTCTGCCTTTCTTCCCGTGAGAATTCGGGTCATCTCTCACCGAGATATTTCCTCTGTTTTCTTTGCATCTGTTTGCTGATACGATTGAGGACTAGCATTGTGGGCATGGAGGCTTTTTCTTTTGATGGAATCTCGCCTTAGCAGTTGCACATGCTCTTTTCGGAGAATCGGTTTCTCCATTTTATTATCAGCCTTCTTTTTCTGCGTTGTGACCTAGTACAGATTATTTCCCCCCCTTTACAGGTCTTCAGTTCAGGTCCTCTGTCTGGCAGCCATTGCTACTGTTGAAAGTATCCACTGTCTTAATACTCTAATATGAGCTTTATCATATAGTGACATTTTACATACGGTTAGATATTTTTTTCCTTGTCGTTGCCAGATTTCTCTTGCAGGAAGTCCGCTTGTTCTAAATGCAGATTATGAGAATAAGGGAAAGTGGCAGGATGAGTGTGAGGTCTTTCTTTATTGGACAGTCTTGTACCTTAGCCCACCCACCTGGTTGCTTTACCTCTATTTTCTGTGATTTGGATGATTAAATGTTAAATGTAGCTCTCTTTCCACTATGAAAAGTTTGGGAGTCTCAGTTATTTTGTCTTTTTCTATCTTCTTGAAAGAAATTTGAAAAACAGATTAACTGCTCTCAGCCTATACCATTTCTAGAGCCAGTTACCTGGTTTATGTTTTATCTGAGAAGCATCTAGTTCTTAAGCAGTGGACAATATTCGTTCCTTAATGGTTTTGTACTACATTGTTAGAGATGGATGTAAATTCCAGGGATTCAGCAAATAAGAACCCCAGCCATGTAGCCAACCGTTTTTGGCCATTGGCCATAAGGATTCTAAATAAGTATTGTATTTTGGGTGTTTGCAGGGGTCAGGCACTCTTCTTAAAATTTTTAGACAATCTTCTGAGAGCTTTAATAACTTATTAGTACTCTTAACTCTGAGGTGGGTGGTAGTATTCTGTTTTACAGGTGAGAAAACTGGGGCACATTTGCCTTGTGTAAAATGGCTTGGGAGTGGTGGAATAGAAATGTAAATTCAGGAAGTCCAGCTTCATACATTCTCTTAACCATTGTGCTTTATTGAATTGTTTATATTCGGTTAGCTTGTCTTCATTGCTCTGAGTCCAAGCATAATTTCCATCTTTGTGTTTAAGGCTTAATTGAGGTGAAAATTTCTAGCTAATGTGGAAGTACTTACAAATTGTGAGCATAAAAATGACCTTGGGAGTTAAAAATGCAGATTCCTGGGGTCAGCTCTTTATTTTTTTGAATCAGAATCTGGAGAGGGTTGCATTTTAAAACTGCTTATATCATTTAGGTACAGGTGGCTCAGAGACAGCTCTGGAAAACTCTGGTTTAAACTGTAATGGGGGGTAGGGGTGGTATGTAAGGTGGTTTGGAGATGTCTTTTAAGGACCAAAGACATTCATGTTGTAGGGCTTATTTTTTGTTTTTATGTTTGATGCTTGTCATGGTCCCCTTTCCTGCTTTCTCTGATAAATCATGAAAAGCCATCTCAGGTAATGAGACCTGCCAAAGAAACAAGGTATTGTTCTTCCATTTGTTTTTTCTTTTACTATCCAGGGGTGCAACGTTTCGATGGAGAGGCAGCCTGTTGATTGCTGAACCCTTCAAGGATGGCTTTAACTTTGAGAGAATTCAATGAAGACTAAATCTCTGTATTTATCTATATTGGGGAAGTTGGGTATAGGGTGGTGCCACCTTTCTTTTGAGGTTAGCAAGCCTCATTCTGATGTCCTTATACTACTTGTCTAAAGGGAGGAGACTAGTCATCATTTGAAACAAGAAGGAGCTACTCAGTTTATTTTAGGAATTCTTGTGGCCCTGATTATAGTCCTGTTCTGCTACACATGTTCCCTAGAGCAGTGTGATTCTCAAGCCTGTTCTCTACACAGGCATTAGGGATGAGGCTAGGCATGTCTGTGTTTAAGGAAGTTCTTCAGAAGTTTTAAATTAGGTGGAGTATGTCTCATAGGATTGAGAGAAATACCAAGTAAAGATTGATTTATTTTTTAAAAAATATTTTATTTATTTATTTGACAGACAAAGCGAGAGAGGGAACACAAGCAGGGGGAGTGGGAGAGGGAGAAGCAGGCTTCCTCCAGAGCAGGGAGCCCGACGCAGGGCTTGATCCCAGGAGCCTGGGATCATGACCTGAGCCGAAGGCAGGCGCTTAACGACTGAGCCACCCAGGCACCCCTAAAGATTGATTTAAATTGATGGAAACAAAGATGCTAATGATGGTTATATAGTGCTTGCTTCTTTATGTTGGACATTGTGCCACATATTTTATAAACGTATCACTTAAGTCTCACAACTATCCTGTGTGGTAGGGTTTTTTTTTTTTTTTTTAAATCCCCAGTTTCCAGATGGGGAAACAATGTCAGTGAAATTTGTCCTTTGTCCAGGGGTGTATTGTGAGTTAATAACGAAGCTGTCTTTCGATTCTAAATGTCTGACTTCAGACTCCATGTTCTTGACTTTCCCCATTTTTGAGTGGGGGAAGGTATGTGCAGTGTAACCAGAGCAGTGGTTCTCACATGGAATCACTCAGAAGCTTAAAAAACCCTTCAGGTCAGCAGAAGGGTCTAAGAAATGCATATGTTTAATTTTTAAAATTTCATTGAGGCATAGTTACATACAGCAAAATATACAGTTTTGACAAATGTATACAGGCATGTAATAAGAGAACATGTATTTTAATCAAGGGTCCCAGATGTACAGCAGATATGTAGGAGGTGTGGGAACCTGGGATGACAGTGCCCTATGGGTGGGGATAGGAGCTGGATCTTTGAAGGTGACTCTCAAGCATGGTGTAACATACCAGGGAAGTCCTTGGGACATGCTTCTTTTGGACTCATACCAGTCATGGAGTATCCTTAAACCGCCATTGATCTAGAAAATAAAGCTTTTGTTTATAGCTTGACAATACTAGCCTGGCAAATGGATTGCTTTTCCTTGGCTTTTGGGGAGCATCAGTATTGGCAGGATGGAATTGGTGCTGGGGCCCTGGGAGACTGTCCTTTATTATGTGCAGTGTTTCATCTTCAGCTGGGGAATTAGGGAAGGCTGCCTGTTAGGAGCTCAGGAAAAAAGATTTCTGTTGCTTTGTAGCCTACTTTTGAGAGAATGGGAGAGGATGCTTTTTAACCTCTTTATCAACTTTAAATCTAAATGACATCAAAGTAAATATGGCCCTTCGTTTTGGTTGTATAACAAATGTGAAGCATTAAGCAGGGCCTAAAAATAGTCCAACTATGTAGCTGTGTAAAATGGTACAGTATGTTATTTTAGGGGCTATATATGTGAATCATGCATTTAGGTAATATGATTGTTCACTGTTGGCATCCCTGCCCTCTTTTTATCTAGGGGGTACCCTAAGCAAGAATTGATGTATGCTATTAAAAATCTTTTGCTTAAACACACATTAAAAGGAGAGAAAAGGAATACAATAGACTTGTAGGCTGTTAAGAGAGGACCTTTATCAGGCAGAAAAGAATAGTTATTTTGAATGGTCATTTAAAAGACCAGTGATGTGCATTGGGCTTAAATTTATAACCTAGTGAGCATTTTTCAAGTTCATATCTTTGGGGTATCTTTAACTTCAGGCACTGTTCTTTCTCAGTTTATTGTGTTGTTTCTCAGTTTATGTCAGCAAGATTGACTAGCATGTGAAAACCCCTTTTCTAAATAATGGCTTAAAGTTTGCTTTCTAAAAGTGGGAGCCATCTTTAGTTTTTAATAGTTTACTAGGTTTCATGTGTTTATATTTCCTGAATATAGAATTTATTATTGAGTCTGCTGGTTTGATAATATATGATATTTTATAGCAGTTAGGGAAGGCTGCCTGTTAGGCAGCCTTTAACTTAGTCCCCAAGTTAAAACTATTAAAGTACCTCTTTTAAGGTGAGGTCAAGGATTGCTGCGTAGACCAGCCTAGAGGTTTGGGTTTGCAATTCTTAACCAGATGTGGTCTGGTAAAGACATAGTTCGTAATGTTGGAAAATTGAGCACACTTTTATAAACCATTTATTTCCTGTTGGAAAGCATTTCAATTGTTGAGACTCATTATGAGACAGACATGGTGCTGCAGATGGTTTTACATAAATAACCTGTGAGGGAGAGTTTAAGTTCTTTCTAGAAATGTGTCCTAAGTCAAGTATGAATTGTCTAGACTGAGTACCTTGAGGCCTTAATATCAGGAAATAGGCTAAGGGTTGTAAATCGACTAAAATATTTGTGAAGATTAGTGGAATGAATCACAAATTAGAAGTGATAAATAGCTGTCCTGTTGGTGAGCTACGAAGACTGATGGATGGTATAGCAAAAGTTCGTTTTTCCATGACTTTTCCAAGCAGCACAGTGTTTTGAACAAGGATTGAAAGCCTATTCCAGTATTCATTATATTATGGTATCTGGGGCAGTCTTGCAGTCAGTGATAGGAATCTAAACCCCTTTGAACAGGCTGAATGTTTAGAAATAA